GACAGTTCGTTTACGGCAGCTGTTGAAACCAGTTCACCTCAGTAGTGCGTTGCGAAAAAAACAATGGAAAAAAATATTGAACAAAGAGTTTGCATCAAATTTTGTTTTTCGAACGAAATTTCGTGTGCAGAATCGTTGCGAATGCTACAAAAGGCTTATGGGGAATCAGTTTTATCGAAAACTCAAGTTTATGAGTGGTACAAAGCCTTTCAGGACTGTCGTACGACCGTCGAAGACATGCCGCGTTCTGGACGACCTTCGACCTCTACCACCGACGAAAACATTGAAAAGGCAAAGGAAATCGTGTTCAAAAATCCTCATGTGAGTGTTAGAGAGATAGCACGAGAGCTAGGCATCGGTCGTGAGATGGCTCGTTTGATTTTGGTGGACAATTTCTGTATGCGACGTGTCAACGCCCGGCTTGTTCCGATTCACCTCAATTTGTTCAAAAACACCAACGATTTTAAGGCCAAACATTCAATAAATACCATCGAACAGCCACCGTATTCACCTGATCTTGCACCGTGTGACTTTTTCCTGTTTCCCAAACTCAAATTACCACTCAGAGGAACGCGTTTTGAATCCATAGAAGACGTAAAACAGAATTCGCAGAGGGAACTCAAAGCCATACCGGAAAGCGCCTATAAAAAATGTTTTGATGATTGGAAGAAACGTTGGCATTTGTGTATCGCTTCTAATGGAGCATATTTTGAAGGAGATAAAATAAATATTGATGAAGATTAAGAATTTTGCGTTTTATTTAAAATTTTCCGGAAACTTTTCGGTCACAATGTATATATTTATTAATACTTATACTTAGTAATAGTTTAGTAAAAATAGCATTTATGCTAATTATTATAAATAATTATTATGAAACAATTTGTTTACTCCAAAAAATATTAGTAAAAATGTTACTAAATTATTACTAATTAATGTACAAACCTATTATAATATATAGTAGAACAAACCTATTAATTTGCAGCGTGTCCAATTTTTGGTTATAGTGCGTAATATCACCAGTTTTATAGAAGTTTAATTTCATCATATCTACATAGTCCTTTCCCAAAATTCGTGCCACATCACGAATCATATGTTCACCAGCGAACATCGCCTGAGGGGCTCCAAATCCACGAAATGCTGTATTTGAAGGTGTATTAGTTTTACATAACCATCCGACTACTTTTATATTAGGTATACGATAACAGTTTTCAAAATGGTCCATAGCATGTTCAAGCACCTATAATAAGATTACATATCCTTATAAATTTTCCAACATATGTTATTTCAAAAAAACTTACAGCAAATGATACATCCATGCTCCATCCAGCATTTACATAGCATTCAATATAACATGCTGTAATAAGCCCCTCATTTGTAAAACCAATTTTATATTTGAATAAGAACGGATGACGTGTGCCTGTAATCATCATATCCTCATCTCTATTAAGCATACAGCGCACGGGTCTTCGTAATCTATAACAAGCTAATGCGACGGGTACTGCTACCGATGTAGAGCGTGTTTCTTTACCTCCAAATCCACCTCCTAAACGCTTTACACGACAAACAACTCTATGTGCTGGTACCGACAAAACTTGAGAAATTAATTTTTGTACCCGGGAAGGATTTTGTGTTGAGGAAAATATCTCAATTTCATCAGTATCTCTAGTAACTGCTATTGCAGCATGTGTCTCTAAGTAAAAATGTTCCTGTGCTCCAACACGACAGGTGCCTTCATAAATATGCGCACAATTCTTAAAAGCTTGATCAACATCGCCTTTCTCCAAAATTTGTGGATAATTAGGAAAATATGATTCATGCTCAATTGCTTGTTCAATAGTGATAATTCTGGGTAATATATCTTCATAGTCTATTTGTACAAGCTTAGCAGCTTCCCGAGCAAGTTTTTGATTATCTGCAACAATTGCGCCTATTACTTGCCCCCCAGTATAAACCTTGTCGATAGCAAATATAGTTTCGTCACGAATAACATGCCCAACAACATTTTCGTTATCACTAATATCGTTACTAGAGTAAAATGCATGCACTCCATCCATTGCCAATGCTTCTGTTGCATCAATGGAAAGAATCTTTGCATGCGCTTTCGTACTCAGTACAAGTGCCAAATACAACTCATTCTCCATACGTGGAATATCATCGCAATACATGGCTTCACCAGTTGCTTGCTTCATTGCAGCAGCATGCACTTTGGGTCGACCGATTGGATCACATATAGACTGTTCGAAGCTGACACGTTCAAATAACTGTGCACTTTTTAATATAGGTGTGTGGAAAGATTCTGCACCACTGCATTCCTCATCAGATATACTGTTATATGGTATAATGCCGGCACTTACTAGTTTTTGACTTATGACCAAATATGATTTGTAAAACAAACTGACTACTAGAGATCGCCTGTAAGCAATCATACCTCCTGGAGCTGAAGGTTCTAATGGTAACTCTGCACACAAACTTTCAGTGACGCGTTCTACAAGCACGTGATCCCAATTTTGTTTGATCATCATTTCAGATGTTCGTGGTGCTAAAATGGTTGTTGGAGCCATTCCACCGAATGCCATAAAAATCTGATCCACAATATTTGTGTTGGGTTTAAAAAAGACATTTATGGCGGAATTGACAATAGCAATATCATCATCCCTTCGGCGTGCCTGCTTAAAGGCGATTACATATTGATTTGGTAAAGTTTTCGGAAAATAAATTCCAATCAAAACTTCATGTGGTGCAATAACATTTTTACGATAACCAGTAAAAAATCCAGATCCCATGTGCACATATCGGGTTTTTAGTTGACCATCCACCATACCTGCTACAAGCATTTTAACAGTACCAGCTGTTAAAATCGGATTCATGTCAGATATCGGACTTCCAGTCATAATGTTACCACCTAATGATGCAACATTCCGTATCTGCTTACCAGCAAAATAGTGCAACATCTCCACAGTACATTTGAAAAATCGAGTTTGATATTCCGGAAGTTTAGTGATAAGATCTTGTAAATAGTTTTGAATATCCATTAAGCTAACAGAAGCGCCAAAATAAATGCTGTCTTCATGTTCTTTTATTTCATTTAATTGCTTCACTTTAGATGGATTAATCAGTACTGGATAAAGTAAATGTTTGAATTTCACTTCGACTCCCACTTCAGTATTGCCAACTACCAATTTCGCATTTGGATTTTGTGCTTTGATTTGAAGTAGTTCTTCCAACTCAATTGGACGATACCAAGTCACACGAGGGTTTTTAAAAACTATACTATTTGAATCAAATTCAGTGTTAAGCTGCAATTCGGGTGGAAAAATAGGTTCCTGGCTGGGATTAAAAGGTAGAAACTTACTTTTTTCAAAAAGCTTATTGTCAACATTATTGCTACTGTTGCCATCACAACTATTTCCATTTCCATCTCCGTTCCCATTCACTTTACAACATTTATCACCCATTGCACATGAAAATTCTTTAGTAAATGTTTTGTAGCCTTCCAAAATTGGACGATAACCGGTACAACGACAAAGATTACCTTGAAATGCAATTTCCAAATCCTTCATTGTAGGCTGTGGTGAGCTGCGAAGTAATGCGTACATTGACATGACAATACCTGGTGTACAGAAACCACATTGGCTGCCATGCGCTTTAGCTATTCGTTCCTGTACAGGATGAAGACGTGTTCTCGTACTACCGATACCTTCAACAGTAGTTACGGCATAACCGTGCATTGCGCATACTGGCGTAAGACAGGCATTGACTGCCAAATGTCGAATCTCATTTGTGTTTCGATCAATGCGTGATATCATAACGGTACATGCACCACATCCTCCTTCTCCGCAACCTAATTTCGTACCACATAAAAACAGTTTATCACGTAGATAAGTAAGAAGCGTACACTCAGGATCTGGATTGGCGTCAATTACCTGCAAATACATATTAATTGATTTTAAGTGTATACCATTTAGAAACTATTAATTGATTTTTTTTTACTCGGCGAATA